TATTTATTATATATATTTATGTGGTTATTCACGAATGAATTTCCACCATACATCCACAACATATGTTATATGGTTAAACACCAAAATCTCCAATAAAAAGTATTAATTCAAAACAAAATAGGTTTCACTTACCTCATGAACCGTTGATGAACAAGTTCATGTGTTTTAAATCAATTAAAACATTTTACAAAATCACAACCAACATGTTAATTATAGCCATTAACATTATCCAAGGTCACCTTATAATAAATATAATAATCCGTGATTTTACTCACGATTAGGATGGTTTTACTCACCTTTCGTCCAAGCTGCGTCTTCAACAACTTAACGAATCCTCAATCTCAAACCTCAACGAGCAACTCAAACTCCAACAGTACCTAAGCAAAGTACACAACTCAACTTAGCACAAAACTCCAAAATCCAAGATTTCGCAACTAATGACGAAATTGCCCTTTGGACCAACCGGAAATCCAAAGTGATCAGATCTCATCCAACCAACTCCAAAACTGTGACGTACGTGCTGTCAACGTCGAATCATGACCAATGACACCCATTGTCCAAAAGGTCACTATTTGGGTCCCGTGGGTCCCACATGTCTAACCGACACCCCAAAAATCCGCCTTGGGCCCACAACCTCGGATTCCAAATCCGATCACACCAATGGACTCTAAATAGTCCCGATATCTCCCCGCGACAATTTGGGCCCAATCCAACGGTCGGATAATTCTACATTACACGATCGAATGGCGATCGCTCGCCTTAACTTTGAAATTTAAAAACTTAAGATCGGGACGTCCGATCATCAATCCGTCTGAACCCACAGACTCCTAACAACACCAGCTACAACATAATTAAAATTGGACACGATCCAACGGTCCGATAATCTCAAATCAATGGTCCACATTTGTGAGGCTCCGATCGTCGATTAAACGACGGAATCTCAACAATTTAAACATACTATCATGTTCAGTAACTCCAGGACTACATTCTGTCTCTAAAGCCTTAATTCAGAATCGCCACCCTGCGCCGCCACGCGCCGCCACCGCCGGTGGTGGTTTGGGTACTATTCCGGCGACGGACCACCCTAAAATCGCCGGTCAAGACCTATGCCAAAATGTTCATAATACTGAGTAGAACAACTTTAATTCTTACCTCGAGGTCCAATTCGAAGTGTAAGTGGCTCAAACCGCCGGTTGAAGTTGCTGATTTCACTATTGACGAACCAACTTCGCGGCGTCGCCCAGCCTTCACCGCACCTCCGATGGCTCCGATTCTTCTTGGGTTATGTTCACAAGATAGCAGGCTTCCTATCTGGGTTGGTGGTGTCGATCAC